ATGATAACTTCCCACGTAGAGCACGTGTTCATTCCACTCACTTATTCTGATTATGGTAGCATAATGGCAGGGGAAAGTACAGGCTCAAAAACAAGTCATCTTCTTAGCTTGATCTAAAGATGTAAGACCCTAATTAATACGCTCAAGGAAAGTCTTGGTAAGATGATGGCTACTGAACAATTGTTTTTGAAAATGAATTAGAAGATGTATTAATCACATCAGTCCATGGCTTTAGGATGACTTTAAATCAGTCATAGTGTTTCTTTCTTATTATGATCTTACTGATGCTTACCAGATGAACCAAACCTTCACTGAAAGCTTTATCTAGTTTTGAGGAGTTATTTTATACTAGGATTAAAGACTACATTATAATGACAGCAATTTTGAAAATACATACTGCTTGCTCAGAAAGAAGAGTAAGGGTAGTGTATTATTTTGAAGACGTGTTGGAAACAGAACGTACCTAGTTAATATCATAGTCTGCTATATTAACGGGGTTAACGTAGCTGAGGCATTCCCATAATATTATGTGCCTAACTTCTTGAAATTAATTCTCAGTCTTAGCAGCATTGCTTCATAGCCTTGTAAGTTCCATGATTAAAGCTCATTTTTGTTGGTTTTAAATACAAGAAAATTAAACTGAACAAATCACAGCGAAGTAGACCATGTGAAACAAACAGCCAGAGCAGCAGACTGCTGTAAATGACAACTAACCCCAAGTTAAGAAGAAAGGGAGAATCCCTTCTTTTCCTTAGTCTGCGTTATGGACCTGAGTCTATGCTAAGCAGGTCTGTAGGTTCTTTTTCTAGTGACCCACTCGAGGCACTGACACGAGGCACGTTGTCTGTATGGCAGCCCGCACCATGGGAGATCCTGCTTACTGGTGCCCCACTGGTGTCCCCACAAATACGGTAAGTAACCGCACTGGCTGAGCTCATAACAAGTAAACTGTGCTCGCAGCTTGCCTGCAGAAGCATTAAGAATGACTTTTCCTCTGAGCAGTAACGCAAACAAGGCGTGTTACGGATGATTTCTAAGAACGTGCAAGAAGCCCAGTTCAAATACAGAGGCATCAATGAACTAGGCACAGGTAAGCAATTTCTCTGAGAAAATAAGTGCTCTCATTCAAGATGGTGTGATGGCAGGTGGGTCCCACCTGTCCCCGCGGAACGTCCCTAATGGCTGGGACCAAGAGAAGGGGGTTATTATACAGGCAGCATTTGTCCTGCACATGGAAACTCCCCGAGGAGCTTTTAAACCTGGTTTTACCTCCTGTAAAGTACCAATGCAAGTGAATTAGAGCACAACTGGGAATGTTAACTACAAACTGCTCGGCATTCCGCAAAATTGGATTATTTCTCGGAATAATTAGTTCTTCCCCAAGACTATCCTTGCTTGTGTAGTCTTCTCCAATAGCAGAGAGCAGAACATGCAAGTTTTTAACCTGTGGTGTATAATTTATTAAAATATTTATAATTTACTTGAGTACATGCAAAACAGACTATGCAGTAAATGCTGCGATATTTGGTACAACAAGAAACTTCTAGCAGAAAAACAACCACAGATGTTTAAAACTACTTCCTCCAGCTTGTATCTGCTGGGCATTGGAAAAAACACAGATGTATACTCCTGGTAAATTTTAAAGCAGCTGAATGCATGACTCATCACTGAATATCCCCTGAGCATCCCCTTGTAAACGATGGCTATCATTGGAGTTAGGATGTATGCAAAACTCTGTATTTGCATTCCTTTCAGTCAAGTGCCTTGTCATTGGCCATCCTGGCTATTCGTCAGCAAATTCAAAATAAAGAGATTATACCTCCTTAGTCACTTGTTTACAAGGATTTCTCCTTCTTTGCTGGAAAGCACGAGGAGGATGAAAAATGTTAAGAGCTTGCCATTATCACTGGTAATTTCTTTTCTAACCCTTCAGAGGCCTGCCTGCAAAAATATATATAAGCCTGTGACTCATGCATGCCCAGGAAAGTTTTTTTTTTGTTGTTTCACTGTGGTGCTTGTTATGGAACGAGGCTTCACCTCCCCTGGTAAGATGCTGAAACCCCACCTCTTCAGTCGAGTGCCAGGCTCTGCACAACTGTTGCAGAGGAAGCCAGGGCGCAGAAAGGGCTCTGCTGTCACTGGTGTGGGGACCCATTGCAGCCCCACTGCTGGACCCAGTGATGGGTGAAGCAGCACAGAGCACAGCAGGCAGATGGGCTGCGTGATAGCGCCCTGCTCACACCTACCTGGGTCCAAACCATTGCTGTACGCAAACTGTTTGTGACAGAGAGGGGAGAGGGCTGAGCACTCGGCGCAGCATTGGAGCTGGCTGGGCTGTGCTCTCGCTGCCCTGGTTTATAGCGGGGCAGGTGCCCAAGGCAGGTGTAACACCCAGCGGGTGCCAGGGCCTGCGGTGCTGCGGGGACGGAGGGCAGGGAGCTGGCGGGCAGCGCTGCGGGGGAGGCGATGACAAAGTCAGAAGCGGAGAGGGCTGCGGGGCCCTCCGGCCACCAAGCTGCGGGCTCGGCACCCCCAGGCAGGGCACAGGGAGGGCAGGAGGCCACTTGGTCGCTGGGGCTGGGCGGCGAAGGGCTGCCGGGGAGCAGGGGGGGCCCTTACCTGAAGCGCTCCTGGCCGGCCGTGTCCCAGAGCTGCAGCTTGACCCTCTTGCCGGGCTCGATCTCCACCAGGCGGGAGAAGAAGTCCACCCCCACAGTGGGGTCGGAGTGCAGCGGCCCGGGGAAGCGCCCCTCGGTGAAGCGGTGCAGGAGGCAGGACTTGCCCACGGTGGAGTCCCCCAGCACGATCAGGCGGAACTGGTAGATCCAAATCGCCGCGTCCATGGCGGCCTCGCCCGGGCCCGGCTCCTCCTCGGGGCTCTCTCGGGGGCTCTCCCGCGGCCGGGGCCGGGGCCGGGGCCGGTGGCGGTAGCGGTGCCCGCACCGCGCTCCGATCGCCCCAACGCCCGGCATGGGCGCGGCGGCGGGCGGGGGGGGGCCGAGCGGGGCGGGAGGGGGGGCGGCAGCACGGGCGGGCGGAGGGACGGGAGCCCCGAGCCGGCCGCTTCCCCCCCGCCCCGCTCCCGGGGGGCTCCCTGCGGCCGCCCGGGGCGGGACGGGGCGGGCAGGGGCGGCCGCTGTCCCTTCAGCACCGGCTGCCCGCTGGGGCCGCCCTCCCCTCGGCTGCGCTGCGGCGGCGCGGCAGAGCCCTCCTGCTTGGGCCGCCTCCTCCTCGTCTTCCTCCTCAGCCCCCTCCTTCTCCTCCTCTGTCCTCTCCTCCTCCTCCTCCTCCTCCTCCTCCTCTTGGAGGTGCTGGGGGCGCGGAGAGGAGGCCCCCGGGGTGGGGCTGGGGGGAGCCTGAGGGAAAGGCGGGAGGGAGCCCGCAGGAAATGGCGGGCACGGAGCGGGGAGAGGGGGAGGTGGGCGAGGAGCTGGTGTGTGGTGACGGGGGAACATTTAAAATCATGGAACCACAGGGTCGTTACGGCTGGAAGAGACCTCCAAGATCATCTGGTCCAACCATCACCCTACCACCAACACCACCATGTCCCCAGACACCATGTCCAACCTTTCCCTGAACACCCCCAGGGACGGTGACTCCACCACCTCCCTGGGCAACCCGTCCCAGTGCCTGACTGCTCTTTCTGAGCAGAAATGTCTCATTTCCAGCCTGAACCTCCCCTGGTGCAACTTGAGGCATTCCCTCTGGTCCTATCACTGGTTATCTGTGAGAAGAGGCTGACCCCCAGATTCCCACAGCTTCCTTTCATGCAGAGAGCAATGAGGTCTCCCCTGAGCCTCCTCCAGACCAAACAACCCCAGTTCCCTCAGCTGCTCCTCATAGGAACTGTGTCCCTTCACCAGCTTTGGCACCCTTCTATTCCTTCTATTCTCCCTAAGATACAAACAGAGGAATAATAATCTCCGTGACTTTAATTTGATGTGTCTGAGGAGATTGTGCTGTCTTGGGAAGAGGCATAGTACAGGGGAGGTGAGGGGACAAGGGGAGGAGATGGGTGCGCAGTCCTTATTTCCACGTGGTACAAACCGCTTTTTGGGTACTTTGCTGAAATACCCTTACCCCGGCAATGAAACGATTCTGTCAGAGTGGATGCCCTCCTGAGGAATTCCTTTGTCTCAGGGATCTTCAGCTCAGTATCATGCTGTGCTCAGTCTGCTGAGCAGTAGTTTCCTCAGATTTCTTGTAAGGCCTGAGGACCACAAAGGACAGCAGATGCCCACAGGTTGCTGGTGAGGGCTTTGGGGACAAATTCACAGAAATCCTAGGAGGCTGTTGACCTGGGGGCCATGAGGAGGAGGCTGGCAGAGCTGGCAGGTGGGCTGCTGCTGGCAGATCTGCAGCAAGTGGACACTTGTATGGATGCACACTTGGAAAGGGAGAGAGGTGAGGGGTGATGTGTTTCATGCAGCCTGTTGTAACTCTGGGGGACATCTGTGACCACTTTTCTCATTGCCTCAGTCTGGTTTTGATACTCCAATGTGTTAGGTGGTCGCAAGGGTGAGATGAGGTAAGTGTAGCTCCATGTAGGCTCTGGTAGACCTTGCAGCTCAGTGGTGTGGAAGAGCATGGCCTGAGTAAGGGCAGCTCTTAAGTCAGAAGAAGAGGGGTTTGCATGAATCACGTAGGAGATCACAGCTTCCAGCCCCAAAATGGGCTGGGGTGGGATGTGCAGGTGGCTGGCCTTGGGACACTCAGCTGGGCCACCCAGTAACTATAAAAGGCAAAGCTGCCACAGGGGCTCACCTTGCTGTGCATGCTGAGCCAAAGCTGTGGGATGCCACCTGCTCCAAGAATCCCAGCTCTCCAAGGACCTTTTGGGATGGCCAGTCAGTCCCCAGGACTTTTGTGCCCATGTGCGTCTCTGAGTGTGTTTCTTACCAAACCCTGTGCATTTCTCCCCTCTACTTACACTAGCTGCTATTGTGAAAAATAAATTGAATGTAGCTTGTACTTGCGTAGTTGTTCCCTTTGAGTAACAATTAAAATAAAACAATGCTAACTTTGATAAATGAACATTCAGAAGGATGCAATCAATCCAATTCTTGTAGTTTTATATGGGACACGTTTATAGGTTATTTCTATCAATCTTTTCCAACTGTTTTAACAAAAGTGGCGCTTGGGTACAAAAAAACATTTGCTTGCGAAATAGAGGCGTGAGGTATGTGGTATCAGCAACTCTGATACTTGTCAGAAGTGCTCTTTATGTAGTGCCTGGACCCTGTGCGGATCACTGCCCTGGCTGACACCCCCAGGCCTTCAGAGCCTCAGGTCTGTGCCTTTTGGCTTAGAGGCACAGCAGGTTGTTGTCCTCTGCAATCAGGATTGGAAGAACATCATGCTAATGAGTTGCCCAGCTTGTTATGGGACATGGGACAGAAGGAAATTTGCCTACAGTTGAGCTAAACATGTTCCTAAGTATTGTAGGCTTCAGAGTCTGGTCTGCCTAACTCAGCTTGGCATTGTAGAAAGGCAGACAGAAAGTCACATATATCCATGTACCTTCATCTGGGACCTTTTGAATGCCGTGTGTGAAATGCTACCTCAAAAACCTGTGTTTGTTGTGTTTGATGTGGAGTGGCCAAGGTGGGTGAACTTTATCTCCAAGTCATGGAAGATTTTGTTAGTCTGACAGACAGCAGAGCCCCTGACAGCGCACAGTCCATCACAGAGATCTCTGACCAGCGGTTGGAAGAAGAGATCAATCAAAAATTAGTTTGGTTTGAGGAGCTGGAACAGATGAAACAGAGAAGCAGCAGCAAGAACCTGACCTTCCTTCAGACAGTTTCCACTACCAGGACATTGGCAGCTGGAGTCTGCTCTTCCCAGGAAGTGTAAATCCAGCCTAAATTCTGGGGAATAATTACAAAAATACTACTTCCAAATCTACTGTATTATTAGATAGATGACTGCACTAAGCCATAACTCAATACCTTGCAATCTGAAAGTTCCTCAATTCTTTTATTTATTTATTTATTTATTTATTTATTTATTATTTTGCGTGGATTATTCTTAACTTTTTTTAAAGTGGGTAGGTCACCACAGATCAGGTGAAGAACATGCACACGTTGTTACACAGAGGCTTAGAGAGATATGGACCAAAGTAATGGATTCTCAATCCCAGTCGACCTGGGTCTGAAAAATTATGCTTTCCCAAGAACCGAAGAGAACTAAGGGACCAGACTGGAAGTAAGATGCCATGCCCATATTTATGGCCTAGGTTGTAAGTTTGGAGGCTGACACAGCTGCTCAGTTCATTGCAGAGAAAGTTCAACTATGCATATGCTGTTGGAAGATGCTGGGAGCATTCTTTTCTTTTTCTTTTTCTTTTTCTTTTTCTTTTTCTTTTTCTTTTTCTTTTTCTTTTTCTTTTTCTTTTTCTTTTTCTTTTTCTTTTTCTTTTCTTTTCTTTTCTTTTCTTTTCTTTTTCTTTTTCTTTTTCTCTTTCTTTTGCTCTTTCTCTTTCTCTTTCTCTTTCTCTTTCTTTTGCTCTTTCTCTTTCTTTTTCTATAGAGTAGTACTGGAGGTGGGATACTCCCTACAAATGAATAATGACTCTCCTTCAGTGCCATGGAGCCAGCTGGGTTTCAGTGGGAAGGATATTTCTTAAACCATAACAGTCTGGTAATGTTTCTTCACTCACTTCTTTGATGCACACATAAATTTAGTATCTGAGTAGCACAATGGCGCTATGTTGATATGATCAGTCTGCCTTAAAATCTCTTATGTGGTATGAGAATAAATCTGCTGCCCTTCTTTATTTTTGCAGCTCATAGTATTCGATGGGTTTCACACTTTCTCCTGTGGTGTTTTCAGTGAGTCATTCCAACTCCTGCTGAAGCTAACATAAACCTCTGCGATGGCGTATGGAACTTTCTACTCTCAGTAAGAGGGAGATACGAACATCTTCAAGTAAATTAATTAAGAAAAAAGGATGAGGAGATGATGCCAAAGGAAGATCATAGTATTTAAATGCTATTCTAAGGCGTGTCTGACAACACAAGCCCAAGCCAATGGTACAGTTTTACTGAAGTGCAGAGTGAATATTCACCTGACAAGACTGTGGAAAAAAAAGACCACCACATTTGCTTTTGCACTATGTTTGTATGGAAAGTTTTGCAGTAGCTGCTGAGCGGGTCTGTGCATGCCTGCATCAGTGGAAACTAGGATTAAGTGCTCGAGGTGCTGAATGCTAATGAAGACAAAGTTGCACACAGCCACTCCTCTTGGTGTAAACTAATCAATTTCCTCAGAATCACTGAGTTTGCTTACTAGAGCCTCAATGGCAGATACATTCCTTCTTCTTGTTGGTAACACTGAACCCAGTCTCTTTTTGTCTGACAAGGGCTTGTGCACCTTCTCGTGAAACTATGACTAAGTTTGTAGCAATCATACTGTTCAGCTTCTGTTGGAAATTACACTGCTTGTACGACTGTCTACAGTTGCAAACAAACCCAACAAATGATAGGGTCAGAACCACCTTAAGTATTATTCCCCTCTAACATTAAAGTTGTTAAAAGTATACTTTTGGAAGAAAAAATATGAAAAATATCTTCAAGCACGGAAGTGTTTGTATCAAAAAAGGAGTAACAATGACGCAATTACATACTGATAGCAAATTGCATTCTGGTAAGTTAGAGAAATACACTTTTAAGTGATAGTTGTCGAACTCACATCAAAATCACAAGGAAATGTGTAAGAAATATCCGTGTAGTTACATTCTGTATGCTGCAGTGCCATCTCCATGTCAAGAAGTGGGGCTCAGGCAGTGAGATCCAGGTTACCTGCCTGAGCTCCCCCAGGCAGCCTTTGCAGGACTGGATACCACATGTGAAATTCTGGTGTTACCCTACCCTACTTAGCCTTCTTAGCTGAAAAAATTTCCTTTCCTCCCCTTTTGTTCTGTAGGAACAGAAGCAACTGGCAGGTAAATTAAAATGCTAAACAAAAATGAACATTTTTTGTTCAATCTTGATTAAATTTTGGTTTGTAAATAATGAGAGTACTCCTGTGCTCTGTATTTCTGGCAGTCTGCTGCGTCTCTGCCCTGTGTTGGTTTGTATGCAACTCTCATAGCTGAGCTACCAGAATGCCAACATATGCCTGCTTGGTCTTTTGCTGGTGTTTGTTTGTTTGTTTTTTTTTTCCCTCCTCCAAATAGTCCTTCTGTATGAGAATCTTCAGCTCGTCTTTCTACAGTAAAGTTTAGGAATAACTAAAAACATTTTTCTAAGAATAGAGGCTTCTATTTTGTAATAGAGGCAAGGTTTGTAAGGGAAGAAAGTATCTTCCATTTAACCAACAGACCTATTGGAAGATGCAAACACTAATTATATATTCTTCAGCTCTGATACAGCTCCAGCTTCAAACTTCAGGACAGAGTGGGAGCAGTTTGTTTGGGGAATAACCTAAGTGATGCTACTGCATGCAGAAAAGCAGTTAAACTTTGTTGGGACAGTATGTCCACCATAAAATGCCACAGACCTGTGGAACAGTATTAGGGACAGATGGCAAATTCCTGTTGCTGATGTGTTAGAAGGAGCTGAGGTGGTTGAGAAAAAAAATAATGCATCATAAAACCTCCACTGAGTAAAGGGAAATGTGTCGGAAATTCCTCTATTTATTGCTTAACACAATCTTATTTCATTTGTGATGTATTGCTGGAGCTTCGTTTCTGGCACTGTGTCTGGAACACCTGGAGCTCTTCGCAGGCCAAGGAGAGAGGAAGATTCTGGGAAAACATGGTAGGAGTTATAAGCTTCTTTCAGTTTATGGTATCAATAACAGTCTCCAGTCATTTCAACACAAATAAATGGTTGGTGAGGGTATTTTTAGCCTCCTAAGTCTCTGTGTGGTAATGCGGTGGTTCATTCAAAGGTACGCTCTGTCCTCTCAGAAGCTGTCCTTGGTTGATGCATGTGAAGGTGTTCCCTGTGCTGCTGAGACAGATGTGTACGTGCTAGAACAAATGCATAAACACTGCAAAAATAAGAAAGAAAATGCTGCAGAACTGAATCATCAAAATCCACGGATCCTACACATACATAGCTCAGAGCTGCTCTGCTCATGAGGCATTTTAATTGCTCTGTGCAAATGACACAAGTGAAGCAACTCCACAGTGGAACAAACTCACAGAGGCACTCAGGAACACCCAGGTGGAACAAGGAAAACTTTTCCCAACTTCTCAAACCTGGAATTCCAGACGGACCAACACCATAGTTTCAGAGACAGGCTTACAAAGCCACAACTCTTCAGAACATTAAAAGCCAGAAATTCCGTATTTACTTAATTGATGTTTTATAAACATGTAGTAATTTGTGTAGTTTGCCTCACAGCTCACCAATTGGTAAGCCACCCCTGTTCCAAACAAGTAAGCTTCCCATCCATAGGCCTGTCACCTGGTTCAGCAGACGCCCTCTTTGCCTCCCTCACGATGCTGTAATACTGTTAAACCCAGCGCAGCCACTCCCAGTTTCACCTTGACTGTGTCTAGATCAGCCTTCCAACAACAATTGCCTCCCAAATGTCTGTTTGCTCTGGTAGTAGATGGTCTCCACTTCCACAAATCTGGCCTTGTTAGGCATCACAGTTACAGAAGTACAATTAGCTCAGGGAGGGGTCAGGAAAACCTAGGGACATGCAATCTGCCCCACTGAAATACTCAACTGAATTCACGCACATTGGCATTTCAGAGTTAATACCTAAGGCCTATAAGAATCTGCCTTTAGGCAAGATTAAGAACCAAATCCAAAACAGCAATTGATTCTACTATCTAAAATGAGCAATGCATTTTCCTGCCTTCCTTTCTGTTATTTGTAACCTCACGCAGCTTCTCCATTTGTCATTTGGAATAAATCCTGAGATTCTGCACATTCTTTGCTCTGGTGACGTCCACCTCCTACATCTCTGTTCGGTCTGGGAAGTGCTAGGGCATGAAACAATGTAGAATTCAGCTCACAAAGGATGTTTTTTGTCTCAGCTTTGTGCCATATACCCTGTGGGTACACTGGTCAAAGTCAGTACTTTCTTCTGTAAGCCTTGCACCTCTGAAGGAACTCTGTAAATCATTGCCCACTCTCATGCTCATCTGTGTTTCACAAATTTCCACCTTTGCCCCAGATGCATTCTTTGATAAATTCTGAAGAGAAACATGATTTTTAATTGCTTTCCCAATTGCTCTTCCCTGTCGTGTGCCTGCAACTCTTCTTATGCTTTGTGCTGTTTCAGGCCTCACAAAGGACACTGAAGACACTGATACATAAATGGAATTGCTGAATTAATTCAGGATGGGAAGACAACTCTCCCTGCACCACTTACGAAAATTACACAGAAGGCTTCCGTGCATGGTAGGTGTCACTGAGTTTCACCTGCCCGGGAGAACTGCCCAGACAAATGAGCCATAATTACATCTGCTGAGCCTGAGCTGGCTAGGTTATGCCAGCAGAAGCTGGTAGCACAGGTAAGGTTTCTTCCCTTGCAATTTGGGTGGAAGGCTGAAGGGTTACAGAAACTGCAGTGGCAATTGTTAGTTTGCCTCAGGGACAGGGAACAGCAAAGACACATGAGTAGCAGAGTCATTGCCAGCTTAGGTATTGATGATCTAATACAGCAAGTGATAAACAGTTTTAGAATGAGCACAGGAGCACACACCCAACTCCCTCTGACCGCTGGAGGAATGGTGTAGGCTAGGGGCAATGTAAATCCTACAAACGTGTCAGCTGCCCTGCATCCTTCTAGGGCAAAGGTTTGTCTCAGGCTTAGCAACTGCAAGTAGGTTCCAGAGTCTTGCACCCCAAAAGCCAGCCCCTACGCTGCCAGCTGGAGTCCCATCTGGCTTACACTGGAGGTAGATCAAGTGCCTTCAGGGCAGGAAGTCCTCCCTCTGCCCAAGGGAATTCCACAGTTGTGACAAAGCCAGAGGTTCCTCCTACAGTTGGCTCCATTAGTCTGAAGTCTCACTTATTGCCATTGTTTTTTCATGAGACATATGAAAAAAAAAGTCTTTGCAATTCTTAAAGCTGTACCTTCTGCTGAAGACCCCAGATCTAAGGATGGAAACGTGATCCCAAAGGAACATAACATGATAGAAAGAAAAATAAATAAAGTAAATTGTAGGCATTGGATCTCCACTCTAGTTACTCATAATACCCTCAAATCTTACATACATGTGCTGTGTTTCCTTGTCATTTGGTCAACAGAGATTTTGCAGAAAGTTTCCAAAACTTGAACTTGTCTGAGTAAAAGGCAGCATTTCTTACCAGTTTTAGTTCTGTCTGGCACAGCAGCATTCAAAGAAAGGTCAAAGAGAGTGGTGTTCAAAAAGAAAGAAGTCTGAAGGTGCCACACAGGCAACCCCCCAAATCCCAGATACCTCATTAATGGTGTCTTTGACCATGACTTAGATTGCCTGCTTGTTGCTTTCTTTTCTTTTAAAAAACAAACAAGTGTACTATCAGTGTGTTACTGGACCCACTGGCCAGAGTGTCTGACCAAAGAGATTTACTAGCTCCTGGAGAGATGTGGAGTGCTGGTGTTGAAATTTTATTTTCTGAAGCAGCTAAAATACAAACCATTGATCTGAACAGACGCCAGGTGAGCAAAATGGCTCATAAACAAGGAGTGCTCAAAACTTTTGCAGGCCTGCAAGAAAGCATTTTAGAAGAAACAACGTGATTGTGTCAAAAGGGGGATGATCAATGTATGGAAGGTGTATTTCAGTAGTTATTCAAGAGTTTTCCAAATACAATTACAGTGTTAAATGCATCTTGGCAGTATTATTTATATGTATATGTATATTTATAAAATTCAAATAGGACCTAACTTTGGGTCTGAAAGGCAAGCTGGGCTCTGAGATAGCTGGGACTTTAAAAACTACTCTTAACAGGGAATGCACGCAGCAGAAACTACAAACAGATGAAGGAAAAGACTTTTCAAACCGCCTTCTAAACAAGTTGTTAAGCAGTGTTATGTTCCCCATCCTGTTACTCATAGCGAAGTGAGAGGCTCAGCCACAGAACATTTTAAAAATGCTGAAATCCAAGCTGTGGAAATATTTTATGGTACACAAGACTTTTTGCTGCCCCAATGTGTTACTGGAGATTTTGAAGAACTGAGATTTTGAAGAACTACAGCTTCCGTACAGCTGTCAGAGGCAGACCTGTGATGGGAACCTTCACACTCTGGTAGGGTCTGGAAAGCCACTTAAAGCTGAATAGAGTTTAAATAAAGTTTCCCATGAGCTGGAGAGTGAGGGGAGGCCCCAGATGAGGCTGATCAGGGCAATTCAGGCCTGTTAGAGTCCTCAGGACCATGACAGCTTGTCTGGCAATATGCTGAACCTTCCTTCTGTCTCCCTCAGTCCAGGAAGATCTAGTCTGAGCTTCGTATAAAATAGCATTTCTAAAAATTTTCCTGGGAAAGGGGGCTCTCTGTGTGCAAGTGTGTGTAATAGACAGAAGAAGCCCCGAGTGACACCTGGGGCTTCAGCAGCTGGAAAGAGCAGCTGAGCTGCTGTGTGTGGGTATTAGTACGGGTTAGGCTGAGTTAGCGTAGCTGTTAGCACGAACCTGTGAACATTAACTAACTTTTTACTCAGTTAAAGCATAATCAGAGGGCTTTTGGTTTTGCTCAAGGACACAGCCAAGCTGTGCAAACGACCTACTAACCACCAAGAATTGCAAAAGCATCCAGAAAAGACTGGAGCAAGCAGACTGTGAACATAAGCAACGGTGAGAGCAAATCAGAAAAGAAATGGCTTAATTATCCACAATGTATTCTCTAGCAAATCCCTTACCCAAGGGCACTGCCAGGTGCTGAGGTAATCGGCTGTGGCTGAAAAAAGACTACAGGGAGGGAAGACCCATGACCAGGATCATCTCTGCAACTTGTGGGGAGCCCAGGGAGGGGAACAGAGCCCGGCACAACTTCATGACCCCGCGCCAGCATGACACCCAGCACAGCAGGAACCTCCAGGCTGAGCCACCCAACCTCCCGCCGGGGTTGCACCATCCCTCCCACAGGATGGAGCTTGTGACAGAAACCCCAACTCCAACCCAGACAGGGATGACTCTAAAGGGGCAGCTACTGATGGAGGAACCACCATATGCCAACCCCAGCCTGCTGCTTTGCCCATGGTCTCACTGAAGGGACTGAACGGAATGTGGATGAGGGGACAGGATAACAAAAAGAGGAGGGAAAGGGGTGCAGAGGGAAGTAAGGTTGTTCTCCTGAAGGGTTTATTTGCATACCATTGCAGAACCAGCTCTCTGAGATCCTTGCCAGGAAGGGAGGGTTTCACTTCCACTACCCCTTCTGAGTCATTTGTTACTGTCAGGGATATTACCGGCCCTCCAAACGAGACTGTTCTGGTTCAGATAAAACACAGACAAGCCTTTCATTGGTGAAGCTTCTTTTCAAGTCCTGCTCCTGGTTCCAGGGATGAATCTGAATCTGAATGACACCTGGGATGAAAATGAAAATGATTACCAACAGGTCAAACCCTCACACTAACTCCAGCCTGAGGTTTCTCAAAGGTCTCCCACACATCTTTGTTCTCAGCATTTCAGTTCTTATGGCCCAGAAAGTGTCTGGGTTCACAAGGAAAGCTCTTTTCAAGAATCAGTCAAAGATTTTTAGGGATTCTCAGTGTTCAGTCTTGGAACGCTGCTACTTACATGCTGTGACTGGTTTGAATCAATATATTGACAGTGATGGGCATGTAGCTCTCTTTTTATCTGCCAAAGGATACTGTGTCGAAGGAAAGGAAGCTCCTTGGGTCTGTCTGCTCGATGTGCCACGGTAGACAATTCTGACAAGCAGCAGTATCCACCAGGTGGCAGTGAGAGACAGAGGAAATCTAGCCAGTGGAGCAGCAGAGGTGAGGCTGAGAACACTTCTGCCTAAATACGGCGGCTAATTAGATCTTGAGTTGCCAGGAGTGAAAGAAACTGGTATATTGGACATAACTGGCAGTGCTGGTAGCAGGGGAGCTACAGGGGCGACCTTTGTAGGAGAAGGTCACTGGCAGCCCTTCAGTCACAGCCAGTTCCAGCTGGCATGGACAACACCAACCCATCCTACACCAAAACTAGAACCAATTAAGAGAACCATACTGCCCTTTCTGAAAGCATAGTTAAGAAAAAAAACAGCTGCTGGAGGTAAGAAGTACAATGGGAGACATGAGGATGTGTAAGCAGTGATACAGAAGGAGGCTCAAGAGGTGATGACAGGAGATGCAGGAGGAGACTTTTGAGGACATCCCATGCAGTCATCCCTGCAGGGACTGCAGCTGATGAAGGAACCCCTGCAGGAGCAGGTATGACCCCAAAGGAAATTGCGGCCTGGGGATGAATTCAGGCCTAGAAGGGGGTGAGGAGCTGCTGGATTCCTGTGGGGAGACAGCACAAACCCATGCAGGCTGGGAGATCTCTCATTTCCCTCCTCAGCTGTACGAGGAGCCCTCTGCGAGTCTGTTCCTTCCAACTCAGGGTATTTTATAATTCACGTTCTGTGAAGCGCATGAACTGACTTTGTCATTCCAGCTCACTTGAGAAATTAAGGAAAAATCTTTGAGTATGTCCAGCACTCTCAGTTCTCAAAATATACCTACTCCATAACATGACAGTTTAGCATCCGTGTATCTGCCATGTTAACACGTGTGCCTTCCGAGTGTTTTATTGGCAGAATCCACATTTTAACATTGAAAATATGAAGATGAATGTTAAAAGTTTATCCCAGATAAGCGAACAATGAAATTACTTTTCCTTCCTCGACATATATGCTATGGCCTGGCATGCTGAATGAGTGGGGTGTATACTGAGGAAATGGCTCTTTACTCATTTAAAAAACAAACATTACCAATGAAAGAGTTAATATTTACTATTAGCTACACTTGAATATTTTATGCTGATAGCAGAATTACAGGTAGAGCTTTTTAATAGATAAGCATGTGCTTTTTTCTTTTCTTTTCTTTTTTTTTTTTTTTGTTCATTCTCGTAATAGTTGTTACATGGATATTTGGGTTTTTATCTTCTCAGTTATCACTGAAGTAGCCCTGCATATCATCTTTCTTGCTTGGAAAGGAAGTGGTTTCTCATGTGAGAGCTCTTGAGCCTAATTGCTTCCACAGAGATGGACACCACAACTGTGGCCACCGGTGCTCAAACCGCAGCGCCAGCTTTGTGATTTTTATACCGGTACCTAGTTTTGGATGTACTGCTAACAAACATTTCCACTGTTTATTAACAACAATCCATAAATTGTAAGCAGTGGTGTGGAGGGCATTAACAAATACTAATCTGGTTAAGCTCTGAAGCTTAAACCACGTTCAGGGCACCAAAGATGGCTCCGACGCCCCAGCCTTGGCGCCAAAGCCCAAGCTGGGCGAGCATCCCGCCGCCATCCCGCCTGGCGTGCGCGCGACTGCGCATGCGCCCGCCTCCCCCCCCCCCCTCGGCGCGCGAACTCGCGCTCTCCGCCGCTCCTCCAGCCGCCAGGCGGCGCCGGGGAGCCGCCATCTTGGCGCCCAAGACCCCGCTGCTGCCGTGAGGGGCGGTGATGAAAATCCTTCATGAAGTAAAAGTTTATAAAAGTAAACGTTTGAGCACGGTGGTAGAAAAAAAAAAAAATCAACGTCTTGCCTGCCAATATCAGTGCGTTACCTTCAGATACGTTCTGTTTAGCCAGTCGTGCCTTACAGGGCATGCTGGGTTTATGGGGGTGCCTTGGCAGTAATTAAGCTTGTTCAGAAGTTGTAATGATACAATGTGTTAGTGAGGTGCTATGACGGAGATGTCACAGAATGTGTGTCATGGAGATGGGGCTTTTTTTTGTAGCCAACGTAATTTTAAGATAGGGTGGAAAAAAAAACACACACAAAAACAAACAAAAAAACCACTTCACATAAACCAAATCAACCAACCAACCAAAAAACAAACAAACAAAACCAAAGCAAAACAACAACAACCAACCAAACAACCACTTTGCCTAAGTGAAGTGTTCCTCTTACTTTTGTCAAAGCCAATGGAAAAAACATCTGTGCTGCAGAGATTCTCAGTATTTTGTAGGACTGGACCCACAGAGAGATTTACAGACCAATCATTTTTAGAAAAGTGACTTTTTTTCCAGAAATAAATTCCAATAGCTGTGGTAAGATGGGTTTCCCCCATTGTCTTTGCTGAAGTCTCCTTAAATGACAGCATCACATTCACTGCTCTAACAGTAACACAATAATGAATGTTTGTTAGTACAAGCAGCTGACAGTATGAGACTAATAAATAATTTGGAAGACAATTACCTGAGTTTAAGAGGGTTATTTTTATGAACAAGCCCCCTTTTTGGAAGTCCTAGGCATGCTCAGCTCTGCTGGCGGCATTACAGGTCATTCAGCAGCTCTCTTCATGCTAGACCTGGAGATAAAAGCCAGCTCGCTAGCAGTGATTAAGCCTTATCAAACATTCTGGTTTTCATACTTCATTCAATTAGAAGCATTTATATCAGGTTCATAGGAACATTTTTATTACATCTTTCCTTGAAGATATCCAATAATTACAGTTCATCAGGGTCAGGTGAGCAGCTGGCTACCTAGCCCTTTGTTTGATTCAGGTGAAGTTCTGACTTACCCGTTAAGAAATGGGAAATTGTCTGACAGTTCCAAGTGAGTCAAAGTACAAATAAATATATATTTGCCTATAAATTTTGAAAATCCTTTTTCCTTAGTGTGCATTCTCTAATACCTTGTACTGTTTACAGCTCCAGGAAGCACAATGGTCTTTTCAAAAGGCAAAAGTAATCAGAGCTATTTGAAAAAGTTTTGAGTCACTGATAATGAAATGCAGATAACAAGGGAGTATAATTTAGCACGCTGTGAGAACTGAATAACCATTGATTTGTACATACCGGTTATAGAAATAAAAGGTGTCTTAGAAGTGATCACTGTAATACTGAGGTGTCACATTGTGACTGTTGTGGCTGACACTGTCTGCTTTTTTTAAGCCTGGGAAATGGTGGCAAAGGTTTTAGTGGTATAAGTGGTCTAACTTGCAGTTTCCAGAGGTCTAAAGGTCTAACTTGTAGTTTCCAAAACTAATGGCCAGGAATATAAGGAAAAGTTGTAAGAAAAAACAGTCAAACAAAATTCTGGTCAACGTTACAACTATCTTTGTGTAACACTATCAAAGTTCATAGAGCACTGCTACCTTATATTGCTTTAAGTGAGATAAAATCCTGATAAAATCCTGAACCATTTTACTATGAAACAGTTGAGATTTTAGACAGGAGCATATTTTATTTTGTAAACTCTCCCCTCCTAACAAATCTCCAGGAATTAGTCTTTCTTCATTGATTTATTTTTTCAACATAACACTGATTTTACTAAGGTTGTATATATATGACGACTGTCACATAAAGAGAATTCTGTGATAAATTTTAGTTCTAGAAATAGGAAAAAAGAATGGCTAAACCAAGCTGGTTACATTTCTTAGTAAAAATGTTTAGGAAAACACTTCAGCACGTGAAGTAAGTACTCAATGTTTTTCTAATATGGCAGCTGAGCTTTGCCTGAGTGTCTGCGAGACTATTTTCTGAGACTCCTTTTGACAAAAACAAACAAAACCTGCTCATTTGGTGTTCACTTATGAGATGAACAACAACAATAACAAAATCCCCTTTGGATGTATGCTAACCTGTAGGTTCCAAATGTCTTCCAGTATCTTCCAACACAGCGAAAGTTCAGCTAAGGTAATGCGGTGTTAAAGGTGCAGCTTGCATCATTTACTCGTTAGCCGGATGTCTTGCCAGGATTAAAACAAAGACTGGAATGCCGTTCCACAGGTCTGGTTGACATATAACCTCTTTATATTTTATTCTACTGTTATGAAGCATTTTCCTCTTTCTCTTCCTAGAGAAGGTTTTTAGGAACTCTTCAGAATAAAAATACCAAAACCCAAGATCCAACATTAATAATAGAACAGATTGATATTTACAACAAAATCTTTAAGTACTTAATCCTGAAATAGAATGTTCTTGAGAAAAAAGTAATTATTGTTCTAAGAGGAAAATGATGTGACACAAGATCATGTTTTTTAACTAGAATTTCTTCAAGCAGGTAACATGAATAAAATGTCTTTTGTGTATGTAGGAAAATTAGGAAAAAAAATATTCTTTCTGTTTACTTCTGCATTATTTATATGAGCTTACAGTATCTATTTTCTACCATGTATTTTAATATGTCAAATAGAGTTTTATTTTACACCATTTGCACCGTCTACTAATACTCATGTCTTGTTGATACTGACAAAAACTTAAAATGAAGAAAAATTAATTTGATCTTAGTTCCATATTGAGGTTGATACACAATATCTGATTTTCCTTGTGTAACACCGAATATTCTTCTACAGAATACTCTTCCTCCAAGCATGGTTCTCAGTGTCAGAAGGCATGCATTGATTTTAAGAACGATGTCTTTCCTAAGAATAAGTAACTCTTCTTTCAATATAGATGTGAACAGAAAAAAAGAACTAAGAAACAGTTAATAAGAAGTAAGGCAACGTAAGACTTCAAAAAGAAACTGGCAGAAACCATGCTTCTGAGACACTAAATGGTGAAACTACTAAACCACGCTGCATGATCTTACTGCAGACTTTGCTTTTCCTGTTGGGAGGAAGTAAAGAAGACAAAGCCTGATTTTTGTTGGTGGCACACATCAAAAGGACAGCAATCACCATTTACAACAAGGGAATTTCTGAGTAGAGGAAATGTTTCTCTCTCTCTTCATATCTTTCTCTCTCACACATCATGAGGGTACTTAAAAACTGGGACAGGGGCCTACGGAGTTGTGGAATTTCCAGCATTGGAGATATTCAGGCTTAACTGGACATGGCCCTGAACAACCTGTTCTAGCTGACTCTGCTTTGAGCAGGGTGTTGGGCCAGATAACCTCCAGAGATTCCTTCCAACCTAAACTATTCTGCGATTCAAAAATATGTTTTGATAAAACCCAAGAAACACTTTGAAAGGGACATTCATCAGGCCGGAGCAGTTGGAGACCTCCATTCACGTGCTTACCTTATAACAATTAGAACATTCATTTTCTTTGTGGAGCTTTTGCAAAATAAATAAAATAAAATTCATAATGCATTTCAATTCTCATAGTTCTGATTGTATTAATACTTGAAAACAAGAATATAGCAAAAAGGGACAAGAAGGAAAGAACTAGGTTTTATTATCACAGCCTTAAACCTGGTTTTGGCAGTGCCTGGTTAGTCTCTTCTCAGCCTTGGTCTGCATGCATGTGTTAATATTTAAGGATAAACTACACAGAATGCAAAGTCTGGCATTCACTCAGATCAGCTGTATTTTCTGGCCTTTGCCATGATGAGTTTAGTGATAATTTCTTTCAGTGTGCCATCCCCGACAAACAAGTGGTCTGAAATAAATACTCCAGAAACAATGCACTCTTGGTTAAGACAGATCTCAGAATGGCAAGGTTTGCAAATAAATATACACCCATAGTATCTTATTCTGTAATATCAAGGCTGAGTATTGTCACAAAGTATTTTGATAATAAAATGGGATCAACGTAGTAAGCAATTAGTGATTTTCTTTTCAACATTAAAATTCCTAAACTGATTATATTAAAAATAGGGTGGGACCACAGAAAAATGTGCTTCACCAAGAAGAATCCAATCTTAACAAAACAGATCTACGCTAGAGCTGTTCTTGTTACTCCAGCCCCATACCCCCTATGCCTCTGCTTTTGCACTGGAAGTGTAAGTGCACTTGTTTGATCCCCACTGAATTCATGTAGTCAGGAATTTCTCCCTGGAAAACAACAAGAAAAATCTTTCTAAACTTCAGGAATATTCCTTAGGCTATAATTGCTAACTAAGTGCAACCCAGGACATGAGGCAATTTGCTAGGTTCCAGTATTATGCTCATTGTCATCAGGGTGACCAACTTAAACAAAACTAAACAAAACTATTTTGTTTAGTCCTTAGAAAAGAAGGTTAAAGTCAAAGAGGTCTTGTTGCAGGCTGTGGCCGCATAACTGGAGGTGGTAAATGTTATTCCATGAAATCACTGGGAGAATGCCTCTGAAAAGGGACAGAAATCTGCTAAGGGCTTGAGGAACAGTTTCCTTCATTTCAGTGGTAGAATGGGGGAAAAGTCATGCTATCAACACGTCCTGAGCAGATGCAATTTGTGGTGGCACTTGGGCTTTGCTGTGCCTGCCTTCCCAAGAAGTAGCTGCCCTGGTGAAGCTGTACCTCCAGCATCCCCTCAGCTCAGTTATGGTGGTGCCAGGGCTGGAGGACTGAAGGTTGGAGGCAGTCATGTTTGGGCTGGGAGTGAAACCCTGTGAGATCTAACTGGTTATGTCTGAAATCAGCACTCTCATGAGTTTACTTAGGCCTCAGGGGCAGTAAACCTGCACAAACAACGGATATTTTCCTGGGGTCACACCTCAGATGACCCCACAAAGCCAGGTGCCCTCAGGGGGCCCGCAGCTGTCCCCACCCTGACGCCTTCACTCCTGGTGCCTGGGCCCCGCCCCACTTCTGCCTCCAGCGCTGCTGAGTTGTCACCTCCTGGAGTGGCAGCTGAGCTGACCAATCAAAGCGGGAGAGCCACAGGCGCGATTCTGGCAGAGCCTGCTGATTGGCTACTCAGCACATGGGAAATGGTGGCACTTGGTGCCGTGGTGTAGGTGCCATGGCGCGTCCCTCCGCCTGCTTGCTGCACCTCCCTCAGTAGCAAATGCCCGACGTTCAGCCTGTGGCGTCCTGCACCTCACCGCCACCTGCTCCACATAAGTGCCTGCTGTCAGCAAACAAGCCCGTTAGGAACCATAAACGTCGGAATTTTAGCCCTGAGTCAGTCAGCCTAACGCTTACGTTGCACTAAGTAATTAATTGTGATTCTTTCTTCTACTACGCCTAATATAATAATATCTATTCTAGGGCCTGATTTTCTGGATAAAGGCAGCTGCATTGCAAATATGAAATATGTCTTCTCATGAGAGAGGGAATTATGAGAGTCTTAGACAGTTGGCAGACCAACGAACACCTAGATTATTGTCTTAAAAATAGATGTTGCTGAATGTCTTTGCTTACCACTGTGCAAATTAACCGAAACAAGAAGTCTTGGGGCCCCTCACAACGGAAGGTTCCTGACAAAAACGGGAAACCTGTCTCAAAAGCCAGCTGAGGCCAACCCTGTGGTTTGGACAAGTGCCACGGAGCAGCTGAGTCTGCACAAAGGCAGGGGGTCAACCAGTGGTGATGAAGAAGAGTTATCAGCCTTCATCCTCACGACCCCCGGTAACCACCACCAGGAGACACTGTGCAAGCGCAGATGGGAGAAGTTTATGGAAATAACTTCTTGGAACTAATTTTAATATGAAGTGGGGATAGGTTATGCATATGTATAGGTGTATTGGGAAACCATGCATATGTAACTCTTTACTGCATATAACCAAGGCAAGTTGCCACGTTGGGGTGCACACAACTTCGGTGGGACTACCCCCGTGCTGCTCAGCGCTGAATAAACATACCTACTCTACCATCTTACTGATTGTGGAGTCTGTTTTCCGCACGTCACTCATTTTCAGCCTAAAATTAATGATGTCTAA